TTATGGAGACTTAAGTGTCCAGACAGAGTGGGGACAAGGTGTCACACAGCCATTGCGGTGGGATTCGGAAAGGAGAGAGGTGCTGGTGAAGCCCTGGGTCACACTGCTGCACGTTGGCACTCCTAGTGCACACCAGAAGTGTTAGCTGTGCCCATACTAGCAACTGGAGAGGGACGGGACCTGGCCACAGTCAAGTGGAAGGTCCCTAGTGTGGTTGTCACAAATGTCAGCTAGAGCTCTCTGTGAGAGGGCCCAGACCAGGTGAAATGATAGCTCCCAACAGACCATGTGGAGAAAGGTACGCAGGAAGTTCAGCTATACAAACTCAGGACATCTTAGGGTCCTTGTTCCAGCACCAGAAAGTGGGCCCTGGCTGGTTTTATTTAACATGACAGGCACAGCTACTAAGTTGACTGCAAAGCACAGCAGGTACGCTCAATTTTCCTCTGGAAAAGCAGGGAGTGTTGGTAGTTAACATACTCACCCAAGAAGTAGGCAGCTTTTCCCTGCTCAGCCTGAGGGATTCCTGTAGCCTCTACCAGTGCCCTGATAGGCAGGCTTTGAACCAGCTACACTGGTTTTTAACACGAACTCATCACTGCTTTAACTGGGTAGTACTTACATTGTGGCTATGGTATTATGCCTCTGTAAACTCAGAAAATAAAGCGATAGCAACAAGAATATGCAACTAAATTCTCTCTTTTTAACTATCTAGCCATTCATTTGGTCAGTGGTGTTACACCTTGGCTGGGTAGCTTTTTCCCTGCCAAACCAGAAAGGTAACTCTTAGTGCCAGCAAGAAGCATTAGCTAATGTTTGTACAGTGCCTACCAACGAAAGAGCGCTAAGTACTGAAATGAAGCGCATCTTAGCACTCAAAGACCTGCATGCTGAATAGTTGACCCAGTGCCCGGACTGGGGTGACTACTGACTGAAGAGGCTGAACATAGCCTTAAGCCACAATAGAAAAGAAATCCAGTACAGACATATAAGTAACAGCATGTAAGGCACAACTAAACAGCAATACACACTTTTCCGAAAATGAAACTGAGCTTTCTCTATTTCAATACAAAGCAGTTCAGTCAGTCATGTTTTCCTCTTGCATGAATTACTGGATGCAAGATAAAATTCTTTAGCTTAACTTTTTTTAATCTCAACTCGTTTTAGTAGGAGCTTAGTGCAAGTGACTCTACAAACACCCCTGAACACATTGTCATGATGCAACACACACGCGCCACTCACTAGGAAAAGGTGAAGCGCAATCACGAGACTTCTGTATTACTTAAGCAGTATCACACCTAAGCAGTGCGTGCACCCAAGTGCTGTTCAGCTCCGATATCCTGGGTGTTCCCACTCTGCTATTAGATGGCCATCCTGCAGGGCTAGATTGCTAGGTTACATCCTGATTGCCAGAGCCCAGAGGTGGGGGCAGTGTAGGTGGTATATACCCTCTGTACACTGACACAGAGTGTGAAATCTAAATCAGGAAAAATGACAGTTATCCAATAAATAATAATAATTAAAAAAAAACACCACAAAAAACACCAAGCAGGCCAGAAAAGAACATTTCGGTAGTGCATTCCGCTGTCCATAATTATAACTCTCACATTTCTGTAACCACAAAGATCTTTTTCCAGTTAACATACATTTACAGTGTGCTTGTGTGAACCAAGAAGCCTGCCTTGAGTCCTAGCAGTGATATTCACATATCTCATAACTGAGAGAGATGGGTAAGCAAACGCTTTCTGGAACCTCACACAGAGAGTGAGGTGAGAGTGGTGCTACGGCTGAAGTGAGCCCCACCATCTAGCTGAATCAGTCAAGAAACTGAAGCAGAAACTGGTTTCAAATAACTGGTCAGATTTTCTATATGAATCTTTACTGTTTCCTTTGCAAAAAGCCTGCTCAATGATGACCTATGCTCAGTTGTATTTACTGCACGTGTACATTTGTCCTTGCACAGAGCTTGGTCCCAGAGCTTCAGGCACCGGCACAGTCTGACCCCGCTGCCCATGCTCTGCCCAGTGGCTTTCCATATGCTCAGGGAGTCCAGCTAAGCCAGAACATGCTGGACCTACAGAGCCTGCCTGGTAGCCCTGACATGGCCATGCACAGCCCAGGCTCCCTGTACACCTATGATTTGGGTACTCTTTTTTGAATGCCTGGGGAGGCTTCCAGCTAAAAGAAAACACAGAAAAACTTAATGTTGCTCCTATAGTGGTTGTTTCTGGCAAGTGGCTTTTAGGCATTTAAATGCACATATTGATCTAAAGATGACCTTTTAAATCTGCACGTAATCCTTTTTTTCACAATCCTTATTTCACTTTTAAGAAAGGGACTAAGCCACAATCAACAGCACAGCCTCAGTACAAGACTTACATTACATACTCCTTTTCTGCAGACTGAGACTTCAGGACACCGTGCATGTTACGCGGGTTGTCATGTCAGTGCGAAGGTGACACCCCAGACCGACCATTGTCTTATTTACAGTGACATCTACTGGCAAAATCCATCTGCAAAGGGCCTCTTTCTTCTATTAGAAGGTTTTTTCGGTGTTCATGCTTCTATCTTTGGCAGTTTTCTCCATCTTGTTCACATCTCACTGCTCAGTTGTTGACATTCAATTAAACATTTTAGATTACTGAAATATAGTTTAGTCCGTTATTACCTTTTAAACTTGATATCCCTGTCCTCAATCAATCATCTGTCTATCTCCAGAGTATTTGTCAAAACAGAACAAGATTTTGTATCATCAGCCCTATTTGCCAGCACACGTTAGAGCACTGAGCATCTCCAACACCCAGGAGACATAGCTTCTGCT